CTGAGTCGAAATGTGTATGTTGCCCTGCTAAGAATATACACCACAGTCTGTGGCTGAGGAAGGACAGAGATGGCGAAGGGCAGAGAATTAATTGACTGATGGTCACACAGAACAGGAGACAAGTTGTTGCAGGATCCCTGCCATGTGCATTGCAGAGGTTGGAAGGTGGCCCAAGACCTACAGGAAGGACAGACGAAGGAAGGAGCTCTGTGTGTAGGGTGTGGAACCACCGTGGGTGTTTTAATCCTTGCCTAGGCCACTTTGTTCCTAATTGGTGTTGCTCAAGCCATGCATTAAAACAAACTTTAAAGCATGGTCATCTTTTATAGAGCTTTTTCTCTTGTGGATGGCCAGAACAGTCAGAAGTGTCTGTAAGCAGTGAGTGCTCTGCACTCAACACAGAAAATGCTGTAAAAATGCTGCCCAAATATACCACAGTGGGAAACAAAATGGGTTTATTACAGACATTTAGCAATTTTATCTTGAATTGTGCTGCATCTTCTTTCTTCTTTGTAATAATACATAATGCTGCCTGTGCAACTGAGAGAGAGCCTTTTTATCAGCTGGTAAATTTAGAATGTACCTTTTTAGATCAGCTGATTTTAGACCTTGAAGCCACAAACGAGCCCGTAGAGTTCTGACTTCCATGAAGCTGAAGGATGTGAAGGGTTTTTCATTGGAATTGCAAGTTAGGATACACAGACCAGAAGAGCACATGGTGACTGATGTAGGGATTAATATCAGCCCTGTTTGAAAAGAATTTGGGGTGTGGAATTCCAGCTGATGTGTGTGTGAGAAGGTCACATTGGAATTGCAATAGCAAATGCTGTCAAGTTTTATAGCTCATTGTGCAGCATTGCAGCATCACCTGTGTAAGGGCTTTAAGAACTTGCTCAGTTGGACAAAAAAATGTATATAATATGTGTCTTCATGCAATTTATTGTTCTGTGGGGAGTTTTAGATGAGGAGGTGCACAGTGCTTATTACTGAGCCTAATTTTAGGCCTCATTAGGATGAACATGGCATTCATCTTGGGCTTTTATTGTTTACCCATAAAATGCAACCCAAAGCTAGAAGTGAAGGCAAACCTTGCACCACCCAAATGCTGCTATTTCACAGGTGCTTTTCTCTCTTTTGCAAAGGATATAAAGGTTACTTTCCCAGAGGAAAAAACAGGTACCTTACAACAGATATCTGGAAGAGATGAAACCAAGAGGTACCTTACAACAGATATCTGGAAGAAGAGATGAAACCAAATTAATCAAGACTTTGAATATCTGAGCAAACTAAACCCCTCAGGGTGGGGAAGGGAGGAAAGTCTCCATTGAAAAGATGACTTTGTGGCCTAAAATATCCACTTGGTTTGGCTTTTGATTTCTCTTCCCATTTCTGAAAGTACATGATGTTCCTGAAAAGCCCCATCTGAGGTACAGGGTGGTGTACCTCTCATTAACCCAGAATATACTAAAAGCAGGAAAACCTGATCCTTTTCTCCTCCTGATTGATATGGTGTCTTTTAATGTTCTTATCAAGCAAGCAATTCCTCTCCCTACTGCTGACAACTAACTCTGGAGACACGTACAACCCATAACTGTCTGTCTTATATCTAACAGCTCTGGGTGAGACTCTACAGCTCGTAAAGTAGATGTTCTCCATCCAGTCCTGCCCAGGAGCCTCACTTGGTAGGTGTTCTCACAGCATGTGTGACAGGCTCTGTGAAAAACTTAGTTTCTGTAGAAAAGGTGGTTAAAAACCCCTGTAAAAGTGGCGTTTTGTATGACAAAATTACTCAGAGGACTGCTCTGGAAAAGAAGATTTTCTTAGAAATGAGAGCATAGTATCATGAAATTATTAAAGGTTAGAAAAGACCTCTAAGGTCATCAAGTCCAACCACTTCCAAGATGCTTCAGGGTATCTTAATAGCAGATTTTTTTTCTGGACAAGTTATCTCCAGCAGATTAAGTGTAAGCTGCAAACATGATGGGGGATGAAAGGGTTGATGCAACAACTCCCAGTCGAGCAGTCACGTAGTGTCTTTCAGTAAATCTGGGAAATTATGTCAAGTGCCTGTGCAAGGAGCCTCTTAGTCAGTAGAGCAGTTCTGTGGAACAGCTCTGTGCACATGTACCAGCTCCAGCGAGCAAATTACACTTGGCAGGTGTGTGGGGAGTGGTTGCAGAACACCAAGTATGGTGTAAATTCTCTTCACCAGATTTCTCAATAGTTTCTCTGGGTGAGCATGACTGTGGCTTTCACTCTCTGGGCTTTTCCATGCAGCTCTGCAATCTGTTTGGTGACCTGGATAATATAGACAGACTCAGCTTCTGCTTTTGGTTTGGGAGGGTTTTTAATGTAATGGAATCTCAATGGGCATTATGGGCCCCTCTGGATGGGATCTGGTGCTAAATATGTTCAGACATTAGACATTATGCACACTGTTAATACAGAGGACAATAATCTTAGAGTTCCCAAACTTAATTTGTTTAATTGACACCAGTTTGATGGGTACTGGCACCCACAGTGTGTGTTAACATGGAAAGTCACTACTGACTGTATAGGCAGTGACATCCCATGTTTGTCCCCTCCAATATGTTCCTGGTTCTGCATTGCCCATTTCCTTGAGACCAAAGTCAAACCCCACATTTTTATCTCCTCCTTTTCAGGTAGCTGCTGCATTTACAGGTCTAAATATAGGGGATTTGAACTTTCAGCCAGCTGTGTAGTAACTTGATATTTTCACAGGTGTATAAAAAACCCAAAATGCAGAAAATTGTGCAAACCATTCCATATCTTATTGCCACCACCTCGAAGACTGAACATGATTTAGGTAAGACTCTACACATGTACATAGAACATGAACATATCATTAGCATGGACATTCTGACCTTTCATTTAGAGCAAAATAAAGAGTTACAAAACACAATGTGATGGCAGGGGAGAAATTATTCCTCCCCTTCTTTTGTCTGCTGATGAATCCCAACAGGCACATTTCTCTTTTACCTTGGGTGGTTCAAGCATTGCCACATGTCAGGAACTTTTAAATGGTTGTTTTGGGCTTGAGTGATTAATTTGCAAGGTGCTACATGATTTAAAGAGTTAGAATTGCATAATTTAGAGTTCTGTGTCAGCCAGAAGATTGCCCACTCCATGTAGGGCACAGGGCAAGGCAGGTGTCTGCTCTGTGGGATTTCAGCTGTCTCTGTCCAACTGGGTTTGGGTTATTAATTCATTGAGGAACACAAAAAATCAAGACTTCATATTTGCTGCTGTGTTCACAGTCTGGGACTGACACAGAGTGGAAATAAGTGCAAGCTGAGAAGCTTCATCATCACTTATAGCACAAATACCCTGTGAACTCCATTCCAGAATCCTTTAAGGACAAACTCTTCAAAATAAGTTATTTTCTATAAATTGAATGGTGCCTTTCTCCTGATGCAGAGGCAGAGCAGATCATCTCTGCTTTGGTCAGCTCTTGCCTAGGCTGCCTGCATGTGTTCTGCTTGGGAGACAGGGAATGCACCTCACCCTGCAGAGGTACCTTGGTCAAGAACATAGTTTGGCTTTCTTATCTTTCTTTAGCTTTGTCTTTCTTTACCTTCTTTATTTTTCTTTATCTTTCTCTCCTGCCTGAAATCTGCAACTGGGTGGTTTCAGTCCTCCTCAGAACTGGGAGCTCACACAACAACCTCCTTGCTTTGAATCACAGTATGGTCTGTGAAAATGGTCTGTGAAAATCACTGTCTCCAGAGAGAGTGGAGACCTGGAACTGGTCAGGCCTCAGGCAGGGACTGGGCATCATTGTAGGCAATATTTGTGGTTATAGACATAATAAATTCATAATCATAAGTAAAAAGGGAGAAAATATTTGGGAGTTAACTCAGTATTGTGTTACAAAGGGTTAGGATGGAAATCTATGAGAACAGGCTGTATTATATCTGCCTACTGCTTGTACTTTCCTCAAAAGCACTCAAGGCTTGGAATTTCGGATTTAAAAAATCCAACCAGGATTAAGAGAATGTGAAATCTCAAGTAGGGCAATATTTCATACATGTTGCTTAGTTTTCTCTCAGGGTCACATGCAAAACTAATGTGATTTCATAGGAAATTTGGCATTGCCTTCTCTTTGCTATTTATTACAGCTACAGTTACTTATTACAGCTGAGAACTCTTAACTCTACTTAGTAGATCCACTTTGCACATCAGAAATATTTAGACCTAAGTAAGGTTAATTATATCAACAGTGCTTTTAAACATAAACATAATCTACAGCCAAACTTGGTGTTAACATTATTATTGTTATTATGTTGTTACTATCATTATTATTACTATAAATTCCAAAGTCTTTAAATGTTATGGACTTATGAATTAATTAATTGTACAATGAGATAATTGAATGACTCAAGAATACACAGGAAACTCTGAAAACTACTGTATGCAAAGTCTTGTCAATGTGCAAAGCCAAATGAAGTGGAGATAAAGAATGTTTTATAATGTGATCTTCTTGGCTCTGACCTGATGGTAATTTGATCACCAATTATTTTAGCTAAGGAGACACATGAGTTTAGCATGTTAGGGTCAACACAGGAAATTTCAAGGACCAAGGACAACCTGAAGGGTTTGTGTGGTGATGAGACTGTTAAGAGATGTCAGATAATCTACCAAAGGTTTTCTCTTTGCTCCTGTTTGAGTTAAGGAGAGCAGCCTGCACCTCTCAGGAGTAGTCACACCACTCAAGGCAACTCTGAAAGGACAAGAAGGAACAAGGCTTTTATTTATGGGTGTGTCAAAGTGTCTGGTGTGGGTGTGGAAGAGGAGGGAGCTCTGGTAGGGTGTGTTTGGGCAAGCAGAGCCAACCAGCCCTTGAAGCTCAGGGAGTGGCTTGGAGTGGGACTGTATAACGGGCAGGTTGGGATGGTCCACCCTCAGCCTGGACACGCTGCTGCAATGCTGCAAGGCACAGATGAGTGAATCTCAGCTCTGACTGCACAGCTCCAGCACAGATGGCTCCACAGACTGGCTCCAGAGAAAAGGAGGCACAACCTGTTTCACCCTTTCCACAGCTTTTCACTTGGGAAGAGATCAAAATCCGCAATGGCCGGGGTGAGGGTCAGGAGCAGTGGCTGGTGATTGATAGGAAGGTTTATGATGTCAGCAGATTTTCCAAGCAACACCCCGGAGGGAGCCGAGTTATGAAGCACTATGCTGGGCAAGATGCCACGGTAAGACCTAGGAGGATGTTGGAGGAAGGTGGTTCCAGTGTCAGGGCAAGAGGACCTGGTGGGACCCTAGTGGAGAGTCCTCATGGTGGTTGGCACTGTGCTTGGTCAGAGAGTGGACTGAGAAAGCAGCAGAAAGACATTTGACTGCAGAAAGTAAGAAGTTCTACAATTATGTTTGAAAAGAGATCTTCCAGGGATTCCTGCAAAATTCTTTGATTTAAAGGAGTTCTCTAAAATAATTTTGTTGCTTGTTGGCAGAAATAAGAAATTCTAAGCAGATGTCACAGACTGTTTGCTGAAAGGAGGTACTGAATTTCTGACTAGGAATATGAACATTAGAGACATGACCAGGTTTGGGGCATAAACTTGTGATATGGGAGATTTAATTATTGTCACAACAAGACTTTTTCGCTTGAAGGAAGTTGCTTAACCTCTCTAATCCCTCAGGTTTCAGTGTGTGAAGTTGGATAGCACTCCCTAACTCATGGCCCAGAATGGACCACATCAGCTATTTTCCACATTTCATTCTTTGCATCCTACTTGCAAGTGGGAATGAAAAAAATCCCTGGTGTTCTCAAAGGAAGAAAAAGAAAGGGTTTGTGTCACTTGGAGGTTCTCAGCTCACTGACTGGCAGACCCAGCCCAGTTCTTGAGAACATAGACCAGCCCAGGGGTCCTGGTGCCACCTCCTGCACTTTCTATTACTGGACTTTTATAAGAGGAGCCAAGGACTACAGAATTCATGGAATGACTTGGCCCCAAGCTATGTCCTTCCACCTCTTGCTGTCCACAGACCTGCATTGAGATGATTTTATTTATAGACACCCACAGGCTTTAACTGCAGTAAATTTGTCTGGGCTGAATATGTTTAAAGAAGGACCTTGGATTTTACTTGCTTTTATTATAGCAATCTGATATTACTTGATCTTAAAGGTCTTTTCCAACCTCTATCTGTCCTACATCCCTTTGAAGACAGAAGGAGCACAACTAGTAGGCAAAATTGTGGGTACAATGTAGATTTGTGTTCCATCATAACAACATTCTTCTGTCTTGCTCTCAATTTGCATTCTGCTAATCTTTAGCATTCTTTTTGCTCTTTAAATGTTGCTTGTTCATATAATCTAAGAAATGCATAGTTTTACAGGACTGGAAGTTGTCTCAAAAAAATCACTGGTGCTTGGCTTTGCCTAAAGCCAGGGTCCAGGGCTTTTTTCCAAGTCCTGTTGATTTCTCTAGAGCTCATAATTGTATATCTGTGGTGAGAATTGTCTTCCTCTAGAGCTCACAATTAGCAATATACCGTGGGAATTCCTTTCCTCTGTGTGGATTCCTTTGACAACATAGACGACACACATTGCAGACCGATGTCAAATGTTGGGAGTTGTGTGCATTGCAGGTGATAGTTCTTAAAGATAATCTCTTCTAAGATGATAATCAGGGCCTAAGAGCAGGGAGGAGAAAGGATATGCAGGATTGAAAGGTTTATAGCGATAAGAATCTGTGATACTGATCTTGTGGATAGGGATTTCTACTTGAAAGGATTCTGGCTCCTGTTTGTAAGGTGCAGTATAGCTACTTAGATACTAGATATATACAGATATAGATACTTGATTTCTGCAAGAGGGAGGTATGTAAAAAGTATAAAACCTGTAGGATGAGGGGCACAGAAACTGATGGAAAGATTTCCCCAGTCCTCTGGGTCTGGACAGAGTCACTGTGACAAAGGGGCACTAGATGTCTATAGAAAGCACATCCAAAATGTTACCTTGCTCTGACTTCTTCTAAAGTACTCAGAGAGAGACTGTCTCTAGCCAAAAGGCTCCAGGGGAATGTGAGGCTGCACAGGGCGAGTCCTGTGTCCTCTTCCTGGGAGCTGTTACTGACCAGGTGTGTGCAGGATTTTTGGCTTGCAGAGACAAAATCAGCAAGTCCCTGGCAGTTCTAAACCAGGATTTTGTTATACCTACTCTTTCTGGAAGTAAAAAAAGAGTATAGCCAGCCTCTACCTTTCTTCTGGAAAATTCACTGGGGACATGAGCTGAAGAAGAGTTTTGATTGACCTGGAATTTTGCCCTTTATTGCGTTGTTTGTATTTGCTTTCCAAACTGGAATTTCAAATGGTTCTTGGACAGACCCATTTGTGTCACTAGTGTTACCCAGTTCCCCAAAACATCAACTAGTCTGAAAACTTAGAGGGAAATGTAAGAGATACCCAGTCTGTGCTGCTCTGTATGGAGCTTCAGCATGTATTTCCTGTGGCCCTGGTGTGATACAGACAGGATTTAAAAACCTCATCCCAGACACGGCAAAGACACACCTCACTCACTGACGTGTTCTCCTGCTCCTGGGTCCCATCCATAGGGCAGGGCTGCTGGCTGGAGCCTTCTAGGGACAGACTGTGCTGAAACAAGCAGATGAAAGAACATGTTTCCCTCTGCAATGAGTTTTCCATCAAACACTTTCATGTTTATTAGCAGCCTCGCCCAGAGACTTTTATGAAATCTGGTTTCTTGACACTTCTCCAACTGAATTGGGCCAAGCTCCAGTTGATGTGACAGCTCCAGTGACAGCAGGAACCAAAGGGAACCAAAGGGACCAAAATGGACACAGGGAACTGGACTGTGTCTTATAGCAAAGAGCTAGGGAACGTGTTTGGTCACGTGCCCTTTCTCACTCCTTTCCTTTGTGTTTCTCAGGATGCCTTTATAGCATTTCACAATGATAAGTCTCTGGTGAAAAAATACTTGAAATCTCTGCTGATTGGAGAGTTGGCACCAGATCAACCCAGCTTTGAGTCTAATAAAAAGGTGAGTGGCCTAGATTCCAGTCATGGGAATGGCTTGGGGTTCAGCATGGGAGGAGAAGGAAAATAAGAGAGGTAGCAGGAATCACCTCTGAAGGAGCACACCTGATATGGGCCATGGGCTGGGTGGTGGGGAGGCAGCTGGAAACATGCACTGTCCCAGGATCACTTAATCCACCCCTGGGTGTGAGGAATGAGCTCCAGAGCCTCAAGCTCTGCTCAGTTCTCCCCACTGTGATGTCTCAGTATTAAAGCAAAAGCAAGAACTGTTGATCTCATGCTTGATTTTGCACAGAGACCACTGTGACAGATTATCTCCTGAGTCCTCCGTGGCTGCTTTGGGGTTCCTGGCTCTGCTGTGTTCCATTTTCAAAGTAAATAGTGCCTTACTACTCCCTTTACCCACAGAAATCCCTGCTGGAGGATTTCCGTGAGCTGCGCTGCACCATTGAGCAGATGGGACTGCTGAGGCCAAACTACTTCTTCTTCTTCCTGATTTTCCTTCACCTCCTGGTACTGGATGCAGCATCCTGGCTCGTGGTCTGGTACTTTGGCATCTCCTTCGTGCCTTTTGTGACTGGCATGGCATTCTTCACCACTGCTCAGGTAAACTGCTGACAGGTGTTCAGCACTGCAGATGTGTTTGGTTCTTCCAGGTGGAGAGGATTAATGGAATGTTCACATTCCCAGCATTGTTTTGCTGCCTCTCCTCAGATCCTGTTTTCTGACTGAAGACAACAAGCAGGTTCTATGTCACAATTTTTGTTGCCTCCAGCAAATCTGGTTCTGCTGACAGGCTGCTCCCTTGGGTTGGTGGGGTGTTGTGGAGCTGGTTGGTGGGATGGGCTGATCTAATCATCTCAGAAAAAGGGAATATTTTATTCTCAGCTGCTCTTTTGGCTCTTTGTTCTTTCTGTATAATGACTCTGGTGTTTGTTGGGTGCATTATAGGCCAATTACTCTCACTAGCTCTGAATAGTTTTCTGCTGGATCAGTAAATTCAATCGTAGAG